CCACAGATTTCTTTTTAGACTGAGGCAGGTAGAAGGACATCATCCCCATAGTTCCATAATAAAGAAGAACTATTGTCTTAACAAACTGTTTTCAAAGATGCTGATGGGAAGCAAAACAATTGGCAGAATCTGTGGGGAACAATTTATTTAATTATTATTTTTCAAAACACATGTTTAATGATAAGAAAAGATACAAGAATTTCCTTAGCTTTTTCTGTGTGTGTGTAGCTGCATTAGCTGTTGTGAATATTTTGAAGTTCCTATTTTAATCAGATTTCAACTTAGTTAAGAGCACTTTGGGCATTTAAAACTATTGAGCCAGCAGAAAAATACTTGTGCTTGCACTGCTGAGAAAAGGGCCACTTCATTGGCCAGCCCTACTTTTGCAATTAGTTTCAAATCCATCGTGCTATTCATCAAATAGAGAAGGTAACTTGTCTATGATCATATTTAACAATACTTGAAACCTACTTTGCTTAGAGTAGCTAAAAAGTAGATATCTGTTCTCACAGTTACGTCAGTCCAAATGTTATGCTGCTATTTCTGTATGTTACAGAGCAAAGTTAAGATAGACAAATTATGGTATAAAAATATAGATTATTCATGAATAAGTGACGTGTATTCCTTAAGCAGTTTTGGCAGTGCACTCTATTGTTGTGTGTGTGCACACAGACATGTACACAGTAAGTATATATATGCAGAGCTGTATAACTTCCCTCTATGCAGTTGCTTGTCAAAATCCAGCTGCTTTTATGTGGTTTTATGTGTTTTGTTTTTTTTTTTTTAATCCCTGAGAAGAGAGCTGGCCAGCAATGTAAAGTGTTTGCACCTGATTTTACACCAGATTCTCCATGTAATCTAGCAGTTTTGTATTGGACTCACAGTTTTGCTTTTAAAAGATGCTGGGGGGGTTTTTTTGTGATGCAGTCATCATCACTTTGTATAAGAAGAAAGGTACTAAATCAGACTGCTCAAATTACCGTGGTATTACTCTGCTCTCCATTGCTGGCAAAATCCTGGCAAGAATACTCTTGAACAGACTAATACCCGCTAGAGCAGAAGGAATTCTACCTGAAAGCCAGTGTGGTTTCAGAGCCCACAGGAGCACCACAGACATGGTGTTTGTTCTCAGAAAACTGCAGGAGAAGTGCAGGGAACAGAACAAAGGTCTCTATGGAACCTTTGTCGACCTCACCAAGGCTTTCGATACTGTGAGCAGAAAAGGTCTGTGGCAGATTTTGGCACATTTAGGTTGTCCCCCCCAAGTTCCTTAAAATGATCATCTCACTCCATGAGGATCAGCACGGCCAAGTCAGATATGGCAATGCACTTTCTGAGCCCTTTCTAATAACCAGTGGTGTGAAACAAGGCTGTGTTCTCACATCAACCCTATTCACAATCTTTTTCAGCAGGATGCTCCAAAGGGCCACAGCAGACCTCAATGATCAGGACGGTATCTACATTCAATACTGTACTGATGGAAGCCTTTTCAACCTAAGGTGACTGAAGGCCCACACTAAGACCTTAAACCATCTTGTCTGGGAGCTGCTTTATGCTGATGATGCTGCCCTCATCTCCCACACAGAAGCAGTTCTGCAGCGTTTAACATCCTGCTTTGCAGATGCTGCTGAGCTCTTTGGGCTGGAAGTCAGCTTAAAGAAGACAGAAGTTCTCTATCAGCGGGCACCTCAGGAAGTCTTCCATCATCCCCATATCATCATTGGCCAATCAGAGCTCAAATCAGCCCAACAGTTTAATTACCTGGGTAGCCTCATCTCCTCGGAGGGTAAGATGGATGGAGAGATAGACAACAGGTTAGCAAAGGCATAGAGAGTTTTGGAAAGCTTCATAAAAGACTTTGGCGAAATAAACACCTGAAGAAAAGTACAAAGATCAGTGTTTACAGAGCCATAGTGCTGTCTACTCTCTTATACGGATCTGAATCATGGGTCATCTACTGCCACCACCTGCGACTCCTCGAACGCTTCCATCAACGCTGTCTCTGCACAATCCTAAACATCCACTGGTCAGATTATGTGACCAATACATCTGTTCTTGAACAAGCAGCAGTCACAAGTATTGAGGCCATGTTGCTGAGAACACAGATGTGCTGGGCAGGGCACGTCTCCAGGATGAAGGACCACTGTCTCCCTAAGATCCTGCTTTATGGTGAACTTGCCACTGGCTACCGCAAGAGAGGAGCCCCAAAGAGAAGATACAAGGACTCCCTGAAACAGCATCTCAGCCTTGGCCATATTGATCACCATAACTGGTCTACTCTGACCTCCAATCGGGAGGCCTGGAGACACAGCATCTATAACACTGCTGATGCTTTTGAGAACGCACGCAGGATCACCCTTGAGGAGAAAAGACAACGCAGAAAGAATCGTGCCTTGCAGAATATACCACCTAAGGAGTCTTTCTGCTGTGCCTTTTGCAACCAGACATGTCTATCTCATATTGACCTTGCAACAAATGTGGGTAGAGCCCTTCCCAAATCTTTGTTCACGAAGCCCAGTCATGATGAGTATTCTTACTGGATATGACTATGATATATGTACATCTATATTTTTGCTCTAGCTCTGCTATTTGGGTTTTTTTTCTCTCTGGGAAGTAAGCTTTTTTGCTGGGTCTCGGGGACTTTGCAGGAAGCCAGGTCCAAAGCAACACACGGCTGCAGCACAGGGTTTGCTGCCATGTCACCTCCTGGGGTGCTGGGCCTGGGAGGACACAGGGGTCCCAGAGTGGGGCACCGTGTGGGGACACAGGGAGAACTGTGGCTGCCCAGGCTGGAGAAGAGAAGGTTTTGGGGAGACCTTGCAGCCCCTTCCAGTTCCTAAAAGAGGCTCCAAGGGAGCTGAAGAGGGATTTTGGATGAGGGCCTGGAGTGACAGGACAAGGGGGAATAGCTTCACAGTGGCAGAGGGCAGGGTGACATTGGCAGTGGCTCTGAAATGGGGCGAGAAGGCTCGGGCAGCAGCTTGTCCTTTAGCCAAGGCAGCTTCTCCCGGGGAAAGCCCCAGCCAGGGCTCAGCTTGTCCCACAAGCCTGGGACCAGGGGTGCTGAGGGGGGAGCCTCCCGCTGCCTGAGGGACAGCCCAGGAAGGACACGGTCGGCTCGGCACACTCAGCACCGCGCAGCTGAAGGACACCAGGGCTTTGGGCACGTTGTTGCAGCTTTACTGAGCCCCAGTCCTTTAGCCAATGCAAGCTGCACCTCTGCCGGGCTCACGGCCAGCAGCAGCGCAGTGCTTGCAGGAGGCCTCTTGGTCTTTGCTGCACGCAAGGACTCCTCAGAATGGAGGTTGTCTGAACTGCCAGGGAGCTGACAGAGATGTCCCAGTCATTCTCCAAGGGCTGAAGTGCTGTGAGGGAAAGAAACATAGCCCAGATCAAACCCCACGTCTGCAGAGAGCCTCTGGATTCCCGACAGACCACGCTCCCCACTCACCGCTCAGGATGTCAGCCTGACTCTCCGTGGTCTGCTCCCTCAGGCGCCATGTGATGAGTCCTGGGCACAGAGCTCCATTAGCCCCTGCTCCCCAGCCTGCTCCCAGCAGCAGGGTCCCCAGTCCTCCCCTCCTCCCCCTCAGCAGGGCTGAGCCCAGGAGCCCCCAGAAGCTCAGGGCAGTGGGACTGAGCAACGCGGCCACCGAGCCCCACTGCGTGGGCAGGGCTGGCAGAGGGAGGCAAGGCCCTGCCCGGGATGACTGGGGCTGGGGCAGCCCCAGGACTGCCCCTCGTTGCTGGGGCAGCAGTGGCACAGGGGCCAGGCTGCCCCCAGAGGCACCGCAGGGGCTGGCACTCACCGATGAACCTGACGGCCGCCAGGCGCACGTTGGCCTGAGGGTCCTGCAGGTAGGGCAGGCTCTGGTGGATGAAGTCTTCAGCCCTGTTCCTGCTGTTCTGCAGCTGCAGAGAGAACAAGGTATGTCTCTCCAGGGCTGTCACTGGGGCAATTGGATGGAGCAGTGCCTCCTGCCAGCAACCCTGGGATGGAGAGGCCTCCCCTCCTGCTGGCTCCAGGGAAGGGACAGGGGCCAGCAGAAAAGCCCCTGGGGCTCTGTTCTTGAGGGCAGCAAGAGGGATGCAGCTCCAGGCTCTGCCCAGCTGCAGAGCCCCCAGCCCAGACATGGCATGGGGGCAGCCCTCCCCCAGCCTGGGCCCCTCAGCTTGTCCTTACCAAGCACGCTCCAAGCTCCCACAGCCGCTCTCTCTGCAGCAGGTGCTTGAGCGTCTTCCACTTCAGCAGCTCAGCGGCAGCAAGAAGGGCTTCCCTGGAGGCCTGCAGGACAGCAGGAGCTGAGAGATGGCCCGGGGGCCTGGGTAAGGAGACATCCCGGCTCTGTTCCTGGGGGATCCTGCCTTTAGGAAGCTGGGACATGCCCTAGCCCAAATATCTGGGAACCTTTTGGGGACAGCCCTGGGGGACAGGCGTGGAGGCTCAAAGGCCTGGCCTCTGACACAGCCTGTATGGGGATGCCCCTGCTCAGGCCGTGGTGGTCACGGGCTGCTGCCGAGCCCTGCAGGAGCAGGCAGGGCAGGTGTTGCACAGGGCCGTGCCAGCTTCTCCGGCCCTGCTGGCGCTGGCTCCGCACGGACCTTCCCCCGGGCTGTGCTGGGGGAGCGCTGCCCGCTGCCAGCAGCCCTTGCCCCGATGCCCAGGAGCCCTGGGGGGTGTCAGCTCAGCCCTCTGTGTGTCAGGGCTCAGCCTTCAGCGCTGTACCTTGGCCACGCTGGGGACCTGGTCGCTCATGCGGAAGAGGAGAGGCACCAGTGCCCACCACACCTCCTTCCTCATCCTCTTCTCATCCCTGCCCACCACCAACTGCAGCAGCTCTGTCAGCATGCGGATGGACAGCTCTCGCAGCTCGCTGCACTCCTGGCAGGAAGCAGGAAAAGGGAGCTTTGCAAACAGCAGCTCCCTGCCCACAGTGAAGAGGGTCCTCATCATGGCTGGGGGGAGGGCAGCGGCTCCGGCCTCACATCCCAGAAGAAGGAGCACTGGGCTGCACGGCCCAGAAGCCATCCCAGGAGAGCCCAGGGGAGTGGAGCTGGCTCCAAGTGCTGCTTGCAGGGCTGGGCTGCAGGGCAGCTGTCATTGCCCAGCGCCCATCTGAGGGGCTCAGGCTCCACCTCAGCCTTACCGAGTCAAAGAGGGGCAGGAGCCTCCCCACAAGCTGCACAGCGATGAAGCTGGCCTTGCTCTTCTTCAGCTGACACAGAACGTTTTGCAAGGCCAGCAGGATCTTCATCTTGGCGTCTTTGCTGCCAACTTGCAGGATCTTCATCATGCCCGGTAGGAAGAGTTCAATGTTTCTTGCCTGGAGAGAGAAGAGAATGTCCATTGGGTGAAGAGGGCTGTGCCTGAAAAGCTCCTCAGGCAGCCACCCCAGGCCCCACTGTGGCAGGGAGGGCGTTTGGAGCAGTCACCCCACATTGGGAGTCCCAGGCCAGGCCAAGCCACTGCTTTCCACACAGCCCCAGCCCCCGTTTGCCGACAGGGCTGCCCCTGACCCCGCCCTGCTCACCATCTCGGCTCTCTGCGACAGCCCGACGAGCCCTTCCAGCAGCAGCCTGGCCGTCCTCATGTTTGGACAGCCCTGATGGCTCTCGACAGAGTCGGGCTCCTCAGCCAACTCCTCCCACTCAGCCTTCCTGGAGGATGACTGCAGGAGCAAACAGAGCCGTGAGGGGCCGGCAGAGCCTGCAGGGCTGGTGGGAGGGGACCAGGGCCTTTAGTGGTCACTCACAGCCATGGGCTGGGTGCGGGGGCCTTCTGCGGAGCAGCGGAAGCACTGTCTGCGCAGCAGGTTGGCAAAGTCCTCCAAGATCTTGGCCAGCGTCTCTGGCATGGAGGACATCAGTTCCCACAGCTCCGGCGCAGTGCTGGAAGGCAGAGCGCTGTCAGCAAGGCTGCCTCAGCCCCAGTGCTGTGGCCTGGAGCAGCCCCCCAGAACCTGCCCCTTGGAGCCCTGGCTGCGCGTCCCCGGGGGCCCTGCCCGCGCGGGCAGGACGGGGCTGAGGGCGTGTTCCCCGTGGGGCTGGAGCACCGGGCTGGCTCTGGGCTGGCTGGGCCAGCTTTGGCTGCTGTGAAGCCAGCCCAGCCAGCAGGGCTGGAAAGCGTGGGGGGATGGAGGGCCTGACTCTGCAGGCTGTCCCGCAGCGTTCCTTGGCTCTGGCAGCCAGAGAGTCTCAGGGTCCCTCTCCCCACAGGGAACAAGCCCACCCTCAAGGCCACCCTCAAGGCCAGTACCTGTCTCCTTGAAGAGCCGCCTTACACAGGAGGATGACCACTGTGGTGGGGTACAGGTTGGTCATCAGGCGAAGGAGCGACTCTGCTTTCTCCCACGCTGCCTGTGTGCTGCAGTATGGCAGGCTCTCAAGGATGCTGCTGACTATCTTGGGCGCCTGCAGGGGATACAGGTGAGGATGGCACTGCCCCCGGAGTGCAACCATGTGCTCAGTTGCCCTTCCCATTCCTCTCTGCTGCCTTGAGGTGGCTTGGGGGGGCCCGAGTCACGTGTGCTCGGGAGGGAGGGATGCAGAGAGGAACAATGCCCAAGAGGGCTGAAGGGCACAACAATGCAGCCACAGGCCACTTACGTCCGTCAGCCAGACGTCCGGGTCCTCCAAGGCCACATCCAGCAGGCTGCTGGGCACCTGCTGGTCGAGGATGCTGGCATCGCCCAATGCCTCAATGGCCACGAGGATGACGTCTGTCCTCTCGTGGGACTGCAGGTATTTTCCAAAGGCCTATGGCAGCAAGGAAGGAAGACATGTCACGCTGAGTGCCCTGACGGTGCTGCTTGGCTGAGCAGCTCGAGGGACCCTGGCCGGACGTGCCCACCACTGCTGACAGCAGTGCCCACAGCAAAGCTGGCAGCAGTGCCTGCAGTCCCTGCATGGCAGAAGATGAGCAGAGAGGGCCCTCCTGCTGGGGGAGGAGGGCTCATGGCCACAGGCTGCTGGCCCCACTGAAAACCAGGGACTTGCTGGTGGCCAGGAGCACTGGAGCTCCTGCTGGGGCTGAAGCTGCTGCTGGGCCACTGGAGTGCAGCCCTTGTGCTGTCCCTGCTCAAGGACGGCGCGAACCCTCTCCCCAGGGAGCTGAGGGCACTCCAGCCCCACTGCTGTGGGGTCCTTTGGCTCACACCAGTGCCTTGCTGGTGCCACGGACAAAAGTCCCAGAAAGGGCACAGCTCCTTACCTTGGCACAGTCCCTGGCGCTCAGAGAACACAGCGCGGAGGTGGTCACGGCTTCCCGGTGGACTTGGTCTGCTCTGTCCTTTAGCCTGGATTCCACTAAACACCGGTGCAAACACACAAGAGTCAGGAAGGCAGAGCAACTTTGCCAGCAAACTCACCAAACCGCCCTGGCATCTGCTGGCAAGGGTGCAGGACAGGAGCAGTCCAGGATTTTGGGAGGGCATCAGGAACAGCTTCTTGCTACAGGCGCTGGAGGGGCCAGCCAGGGTGGGGGATCTGCTCTTCCCCACCAGGGTAGACGTGGCTTTGGGACAGGGAAGTCAAGAGGAGCTTTGGCTGTAGGGCCCACAAACCAGCGGGTTGCAAGATCCTGAAAGGAAGGGGAGGAAGGAGAGCAGCAGCAAACAGATCCTGGCCTTGAGCAGAGCACTCAGCCTCTGCAGCAAAGTGGCAGCTGGGAAACTCTGGGAAGCAGCTGGGAAGGGCAAAGGAGGTCAGGAAGCAGATCTCTCAGGAGATGTCTGTGTGCAGAGCGATGAAGCCCAGCACTGCTCTGCCTTTTTTACTTACAGATGAAGTCAGCCAGGGCAAAAAGAGCATGGAAAGCTGCACAGCTTGTCTGTTCCTCGGAGAACCGGAAAAGGATGAGACGCCCCAGCAGCTTTCCTAGGAGCGGGAGCTGGATCTCCCCAGAGCAGACAGGTCCAGCAGTGCCTCTTCTGACGTTGGCACAGGCCTGGATGAGGGAGGCATGAGCAGGAGGGCTGAGGGCACAAAGGTGGTGCCACAGCCCCCCACCCGAGAGTCTGCCCAGGGCTGGATTGCTGGAGAGTGCAGGCTTTGCAGAGCCCTGCATTCCCGTCTCTCAGAGCAGCCATGTGGGCAGCAGCCCTGGCATGGAGAGCAGCAGGGATGGGGGCATGGCCTGGCTGGAGGGGGCCTGGTCCTTACCTGCAGAGTGGAATAGTCGGACAGCACACGGGTCAGCACATCGATCCTTGCCATGGCCCTCTCCCTCACAGCCTCTCTCTCGCATCTGGTGAAGTCCAGCAGCAGCTGGGACAAGAGAAGTAGCAGGTGAGCCCTGGGAGCAGATTCCAACACCAGCAGCACAGCTCCACTGCTGGGTTGCGCTCGCCCCATCCCTCAAGGCTTCCTCTCCCCTCCAGCAAAGCCTGCAGTGGGGTGTCTGCCCCTGGATTCCCGCCCAGGTCGGGCACAAAGGCCCAGAGCCAACCTCATGGCCAGGCAGGAGGGCAGGTGCCACCCTCTGCAGCCCCTGTGCTCCACAAGAGCCTGGGGCCTGCCCCAGCTTCCCCACAGGAGGTGGGCACCCTCCCTGCAGGGCACTCTGCCTGTTCAGCACTGCTCTGGGCACCACTCAGCCAGGAGTGCGCAAACCCTCCCCTCCAGGCTGAGGAACAGCTCTGGGACTCCCCCCCTTTTTGCTTGTGCCAGACCTCCAAGATGCCCTGCAGCTCCTCGCTGACTAGAGAGGCAGGAAAGCTGAGCACCATTGTCCTCAGCATGCTGTCCATGGAGTTGAGGGTCTGCAAGGAACACAGAGAGCAGTGGCAGTCATTCTGCTGTTCCTCCCAGCCCCAGGAGAGTCATCTGAACCCCCTGTGCCACAGGAGGAGGAGGAGGATGCCCACACTTCCCTGGAGAGACATGGGCATAGACAGTCTGCGAGGGCAGAGCAGCCTGTGGCACGGGATGTGGCCAGGCCCACGGGAAGGGGACAGAGGCACGAGGGGGGGAAAGACCCTGCACTGCCTGGGATCCCAGCTCCTGTGGCACCATGGCGTAGTCAGGGAGAAGTCTAGAAGGGCTTGAGGGCCCTGGAGCTCACCCAGCACTTACCTTCATATAGAGGGCAAG